TTCAGATTAGATTTATAATCTGAAAAAAATTTGAACCGAATTGAAAATTTTCAGATTGAATTTTTTGCAATCCAAAACCAAACTGAAGTTGATCTGAACTGAAAATTTTCAGATTAATCTAAACTGTTCAGAACTTTAGCTGTATTTAATTTTTTTGAATTATCGCAATTTTTGTTTTATGTTTTTATCAAATTTTTTAAAGTAAAAAATTAGAAAGCGACAATTTAAAGCAATGATTTATTAACACTTTTAAAAGACACTGATATATTTAATTCTCAATATTAACACTCGGGTTAAAAATACAACTGTAAAAATCGGAAAAAACTGGTAAATTTTAAAAATAGCCGAAAATTTTGGAGAAAATCGGTTTTTTTGCTAATATTGAGGAATACACATTCTGAATATGATTTTTTAATTTTTTTAAAATGACAAATATTCTTCATTACTATGTAAATCTCGATTTTGGCACAATTTTAAGGTTAGAAGAAAATATTTCTTCCCATTCTTCTTTTCGGAATATTGATTTTGCTTTCATATCAGCATCATTGATGATAAAGGAATGTACATGCTTTTAATGTTCGTGTATATTCATCTCAACAATACGACCGGAAGATTCGAGGGTCCACATTTTTGTCGGGTCCATATTCTGATAAGCGAGATCAAATTCGGTAATGTCATTAATTTCGTGTTCACATTCATCGTCTTCAATTTCGTAATTATCAATGTTATTATTTGTGAATCGGATGGATTTTCTTTCGGCTGAATTAAAAATTACAAAAAGATCAGTAATTGTTTCAAAATAATTGAAATATACTGGTATTAGTTAGTTACCTTCTCATTCGGCTTTCATTCACCGAATATTTTTCGAGGCGACTTCCTAGGTAAAGCTCCGGCATTTACTGTTCCATCAGTTGATGTAACTCTCATTCCCAATATCGCCGTTGATAGCCGTAATTGTAGAATTGTTGAAGTGAAAACCGACTTCAACTAATTTACTATGATTTTTCTCCCAATCTCCCGTCAATTATAATCTGGCCCCGGCTGGCAATCCTAGAAAAGAAGAATCATTATCTTAACATATCTCTGATCTTGCATCCCACAAGGTCGACCCAAAGTCTTGAACGTCAGCTAATCCCAAAGATTTTCTGCGCCCCAGTGGGGCCAATGCCAGGTTGACCCAA